TAGGATTAAGCAGAAAAAGCATGGAGGGAGGAAGGGAGAAGTGAGATGGGGGGCCTCGACTCTGCCGTCTGGCACATCAATCACACAGAGGTGGAAGAAGCAGTTAAGGTAGCCGCTAAGTTGCTGAGATTTTTTGGTCATCTTGACCAAACCCTCTTCAGCGCTATGGCTCGGGGGACGCCGTCTTCGGAAGGCAAGGTTAACGAGAACGGCTCATGCGGAAGTTACTTTTTTTCTTGTCTCTACTCTCTCTCTCAACGGCTCAGCTTGGTTTGATCCGGCACTCCGGTTACATACCTTGCCTAGTAGCTTGACACCCAGGACCTCGTGCAAGGCCAGGTCACGTTCGTCGCTAGTATTTCCACGGCCCCCAGGTCGCTCGTGGCAAACATGACCATAGTACCACGCTGGCTGTATCGAGCTTTCTCATGCTGACCTTACATGGAAGACTAGAGCGATATCATGTTGCAAGTGGCACTGAGTGTGGAGGGGCATCGATTAGTGTTTGTCTGCCTGCCCACAGTTGTCTAAGGATGTGATGAGACCAGCAGGCGCAGTGCGTATGCAAGATGATGGATAAGTGATGGCTCATTTGACGGCCCTCTTTTCCCATTCCCCTCTCTGCGTCTGGAAGGAGCACATTGCTATATGATCCGCAGAGCGAGGCGACGATGGGGGATGGGAGGTAAATTGCTAGACAGCTTCCCAGGCAGACTATTGAAGGCAGATGGGATGATCCTTGTCTGTTAACTAACGGACTGTGTGTGTGTTGGACTGGCGGCACGGGCCCCTCCCCAAACTCTCTTCTCGTGCTCCATCGATCGGCTAGCACGACTTGCTGCGCGAGATGCCGGTGACAAATGTCATCCGTCCTCGCAATGGCAACGACTGACTAGCCATCCGTCCATACATGATGTGTAGTAGTAGGTGGGTGGGAAACAGGGGCCAAGAGTGATTGGCACGATGACATGGACCCGTCCTGCCGTGCAACCCCCCAGCCCAAAAGCCTGTCTTGAATTGCATTTGACATGCCTACTTATTACCCGTAAGGACACCCATCCCGCCCGGCACACAGCGTTGACGTCGCCGCTCCTCGTTTCGTGGTGGGGGAGAAAATCCTGACTTCTTCCCATGGTTTCATACCAGACCAGAACTGACCATATCTTCCAATCCACCTCACCGTGCCCTCCGCGGACTCCAGGCCAGGCCAGACCAGGTCAGAGTTATTATTACCAAGCGGCTTTGGCCGTTAGATGTGCATCTCGTGCCCCTGTCCCCGTGTTCCACGACTTACTGGATTGAGGGCCTCCATCTACACGGCGCTGCACTAGCCCAAGTACATACACACACTACCGACACCTGCACCGCCCTGTTCTGGGTCCCCCGGGCCAGACCTGCTCGCCAATAGTAGCCCCATCTCCAGCGGCCGATGCTCTGTGCTTGCTTTTCGTCTTCCATCTTACATGCTGCGCTGCTGCCATCACTCGTTACCCGGCTCTGATTGCTCGCCCTGCCTTCCTGGCACCTCCATACACGCCGGCTACCTGGCTCTGGAACCTACCTTACCCAGGCAGACGGCTGCGGGCCCAAACTCAGCTCTCGACGAACAGCGTATTGTCCCTCCAGGCCCCCTCAGCTCCACCACTGGGCTCCCCCCGGGAGAATCCACTCGGCTCCAGGTGGTGCTGTGCCCAGTTCCGCAGCATAAGATCCCTTAATCATACCTGGCAGGAAGGTCCTGGAACCTTATATTACTGCTGCTGTTCTGCTCCGTGCTTCTGCTGGAGCCCGGCAAATCAATTACGTATCATCGAGACCAGCCCGGGCCAACAGCGATCAACAAGACCATATGCAGCCCGCACCCCCCCAGTCGCAGCGCCTTCCACTGCCTCGACTTCGACTTCGACTTCGACTTTCGTCATCACCGCCACGACGGCTTACTGGCCAGTCCAGTTAAGCACCTCCCGCCCAAGCCCCGATATACTCTTCTAACTCTCTGTCGTACCCCGCCTGGCGACGACGGCGACGACGGAGAGGTTTTCCATTCTTTCGAATAGACCGTCGCAATCATGCAGCGTGTCTCCTCTCTTTTACCCTCGTGGGAGAAGAGGACCTCCTCGGGATCCGCCATTGCCTCGACCGATGCCGCCGACACAGTCACATCGCCCCAGAGAGTGACCAGCGCCAGCAGCACCAGCAGCGCTGCTGGAGGCGGATTCTGGGGATGGTCTAAGCGATCCAGCACCAGTACGAAGACGAACAGCTTGTCCAAGATCAACACAGCCGCCGCCAACAGAAACAGCAGTCTCAGCGTCAGGAGCACCGCCCGCGTCCACGGGGAAACCTTTTGGCCCACCAGTCTTGACCTTGAATGCGAAAAGGCTGCTCGGATCATCAAGTCATTTTGCGGTATGCATCGCCACACCTCGTATTCCCCCTAGCCCCCCGTCCTCGGCCTCGAAATTGGCTTGGTTCACCGTTGCTGTCGCTGTTCCCCTGGCTAACATAGTTTGTACCTAGCCGATGGATATCTCGGCCCCATCGACGACGAATCGAGCCCCGTAGTCTCACCCACGAACGATGAACCACCCAAAACGCCCGTCAAAATCTATAAGAAGATTCCCAAACAAATCATTCAGAATGCAGCCGGCATCGCCGTATTCTCCTGCATGCGCAATGGCTTGTGGATGACTGGCTCCGGTGGTTCTGGGATCTTAATAGCGAGAAAGTCAGACGGGACCTGGTCACCACCATCCGGTATCATGCTTCATACCCCTACCCTCAGCTTTATCATCGGAGTCGACGTGTATGATTGCGTTCTGGTGGTCAACAGCCTCGCCGCTCTCGAATCTATGACCCGCCCCAAGGTCACTCTGGGTGAAGATGTTGGTCTTGCATACGGTGCCTCTGTTTCAATGGAGGCTCGCGACATCGAGATCAACGTGCGAGACCTTGGCAACACAGTCATGACCTACATGAAGGCTCGGGGCCAGGAGCAGAAGGTAAACCTGCATGGCTCTATTCTCACAGAGCGAGCCAACGAAAACGAGCGTTTCTATGGATCCGCCGTGTCGCAAATGGAGGTTCTCTCCGGCGCCGTGGCCCGGTATGTGGAAGAGACACAACCACTATTCGAGGTGATCAAGATGGCGGAGGGCCGGACAGATTTCGATGCCTCAATGATTGGGAGAATTGCCGCCGAGCCAGCGCCGTCAGACGCGATTATCGTATCACCAAAATTCTCGGCGGCGCCGCTATCTCCAGCTCCCCGTGCCTTCGGCTTACTCAACTCAGAAGATCCTGATCCGTTTGGCATTCTTGCCTTGGAAATGGCCGGAATGGAAATTCGAGAAGCAGGCTCTCGTGCTCGGCCTACCAGCAGCCAGCTCGACTTCCATCCTCAGCGTATGAGCTCTCTCTCCAAGGTTCAACGCCAGAGCATAGAGACGTCCAACAACAGGAGTAACCGTGGTAGCTTGATGTCGACACGAACTGTAAAAAGTCAAACGACAGATGTTGCAACACAAACTGATACTGGTAACACATCTGAGACAAGCCCCAGCCCTGGTCGCAGTGAGAATGGTCAAGGACGAGGATCAACTGAGATTGCGAAGAATACGGCAGATGATGTCGAACATGAGGAGATCGATTTCACTGTTATTGACATGTCAGCATTGGATAGAATCCGCCAACCTTTGGTTGACGAGAGCGCAGCCACAGTCGACTCTTCTAAGCTTGGCCCACTGCATGCTGCTGCTAGCGATTTCGAGACCGCATCGAAAGCATCTAGCAACTACGGAGACGCGGACGAGAATGAGCTTGAAAAGGATACTCCTGTTCCGAGCTCGAAGGTAGCGGAAGAAGATGATGACGAGCTTGATGAGGATGAGGATGACGATGACGAAGATGACGACGAGGAAGAACCTGTGATTTTTGAGGTTGCAACTGTGCAACCTGCGCGTACACAAGTTGTGGCGTCTCGTGTTGTTCAGGCCAAGGGAAATGTGGTGACGATCCCCAAGAGAATCCCCCCGCCTCTGCCTACACGAAATCCCGCGCGAGCGTCAACGGCTAGCAGAAGCGACATTGGCGGAGATGCAATGAGCCCTTATCCACATAGCCCTCTTCGGAAGAACTTTAGCGATGCAGAGCTGGCGGCCGGTGAAGACGAGAATCAGGACACCTCGTCTCTCGACCCTGAGCGTGCAGTTTCACGTAGGCGAAGCGCTGAGCCAGAGGGGCTTACGATCAATGTCTCCAAGGCTGATGAGTCTTCTCTGAGGACGCCCAAGGCTTTTGAAGTTTCTCCTCAAGCAGCTACTGTCCGCGCATCTTTGAAGGATGACGCAATCCTGGAGACCTCAACCGTGGATCAGAATGAGACTCAGATTAAGGACCAGGAGTCCATTAAGAGCGCACGATCATTAGATGATGCAGACGACAAGTCGGATTCGATTGGCAAGAGTCGACTCTCAGTCGACACCGGAGTGACGGGCGTCACCGACGACAGGTCCAGCATTGAGGAGTCTTCATATACGACTCCCACTTCCGAGCAACGATTTTCATTCGGCGAGAATGTAAACGACAACACCCCCAAGAAGCCTGAGATGTATCTGGCTGAGCCTCCGGCGGTCATTGACACGCCCAAAAAGACTGAGGCTACGGTAGAGAGACTGCTTTCTGAGAAGGCAAACGAGAGCTCTCTACCAGTAGAGAAGCCGACTGTCACCACTGTCTCTGCCTCATAGGCGGGGTCGATTATCATACAATTCATCAATATCAAATGTAACATTACACTAGACGACCGCCAGGTGGCAAGACCTCTTTACTTACAGGAGCCATCGCTTTACCCACGGTAATGCATCCGAGTCTGATTCTGATCTTATTTATCGTTTTGTTGGCAGCGGCCACAAATTTATTTGTTTGGGTCGAAAATGGGCGGCGAGGTGTTTATTGGTCATATACAAGGTTTTCGGCGTTCGAGGATGATTATTTACTCCTCTTCTTCCTCCCAAAATGGGAGATGGTGTATATTGGGCGGTTCACCCACCCTGATGAAGAAACATGGATGGATATGTCCATGAGGATTTCGGGCGTCATGGATTGGTCATATTATTTGCGTATTTACTTAATGATGCTTTGATGGTTGGGGAACGGGATGCAATTATTAGGACACTGCAGTCGTATGTTTCGCAGGATATGATGAGATTGATGTTTTTTATCTTTCTTTTTGGGCATTATCATGGGATATTACATATAATCGCCGGGGATAAACATAGGACGAACAAGACGCCTCAAATGCCATAGAATATAATCTCGGTGCGATTTGATCATGAAATTGGAACGAAAGCGTCAACTGGACAGCCATGAATTACCGCTTAAGTTGCATTTGGTGAAAGTGAGAGTAAGGTGAGCAGCTGGTGACAGCTGCTGAATAGCTGCGGATACCCGCAAACACGTTCACGGCCACCAGCAAATGTTTTTCCCATTTCACTTCTTTCCTTAACTAACCTTACTGATGCTTTTTCTTTTCTTTTTTCAACTTCATCTTCAACGAACGTCGTTCTCCTTGTTCTATCGTGTCGACTGAGGCTTCTAGTGGCTGTTGCCTCCCCGGAGTAGCGACACATTATTGAGGGAAGCGATGGCGAAACAAGCAACAATAAAAACGCCCCAAAAAGGACAAACAAATTCATTTCCTCATTTCCAACACACTCCCAAGTCCAGTCTTTTAAATGAATACCAATATTCAGATGAGGGCAACAGACGAGAACATGGAAGCCACGTGACTTCAGACGTCCGTCGAGCTAGGTCTGGCGCAGCCGCCACGACACCAGCCACACCAGACCAGCCACACCGCCACAGGCTCCGGGCGCGCAGAGATTCAACACCCTCGCGACAGAGCAGTAGCAGGCGCGACAGGTCCAACCGCAAGACTCGCCACGCCGTCGAAGACGACAACCCCGAGCCCGCCTCTGAGCATCACCACCGCCACAACTCGCTAGAGCAGGGCGCTATTGTTACCGAAGGAGTGAGACCGCTCAATTTCTTCGCCGTCAGGGAAAAATTGTTCAACTGCAGCGGCAGGAGCCTCAAACGCACCAACACCACCGCCAGCAACACCACCACAGCCACCACCACGAACATGGCGAGCGCAGGCGGCAAATGGCGCGAGGAGCAGATCCTGATCATCTGCCCTGGCAGTCGGACGACCATGGCGCAGCTGGGCTGCAGCGAGCTGACGCCGCCTACGCACCGCTTCCCCACGCGCATGTTCAAGGACGGCGACGAGTGGAGGCCGTACTACACCTACCAGCGCAAGAGGGTGGTTGACGGCGTCGAGAAGGAGGAGTGGGTGGAGGATGTAGATGAGGATGAGGGAGCTACTTGGCCTATTCAAGGTACGTCGGCGCGCGCAAATGGTCTGGATCCTGGAGCTCTTGCTTCGTTCTCGGGGGGGAACAAGATTATGTCCCAAGAATGGACATCGCCCCAATTTTGAGAAAGACTGGTCAATCAATTGGAGACTAATTTGGGAATGAATCTAGGTGGCCAGATCGTCAACATGGACGCCTTCCTGGCTTTCCTCGACCACGTCCACAGCATGCTCACGACGACGTACCACAACACCCCCATCATGCTGATGGCCTCGCCTCAGTGGACGCGACCCGACTGCGAAGCGATTGCCCAGTACATCTTCGAGAAGACGCGGACGCCTGCGCTGTGCATGATCAATAGCGCAATTGCGACCCAGTACGGTCTCAAGTTCCCCAACATGACGGTCGTCGATATCGGTTACGAGAAGGTGGATGTCACTGCCATTTACGACGGAAGGGTGGTCAACCACCTGGACCTGGGCCCCCCTCGGTTCGACGACCAGATCAGCGGTGGCGAAGTTTTCACACGGAAGCTGATGAAGCTCTTGGAGGGGAAGAAATTCAACCGCGACATGGCCGAGCAGCTCAAGAAGAGCCCCATCTGCGAAGTCCTGCCGTATGCGCCAAATGCCAAATCTCTGGTTGATCTTCCCAAGGAAACCGGCGTAGCCCAGCCTGTTGCGGAACCAGAGAAGGTTGTAGAAGTTCCAGAATCCAACGAGGCGCCGAAGCCCCCCGCAGCTACAGACTCGACAGAAGCCGAGAATGGAGAACAAAATGGAGATGACGACGGTGTGTTGGATGTGGCGAGCATAGTGACCAGTGGCCAGACCAGAGAGTTCCTGGCCAAGAAGGAGAAGGAGAAGGGCAAGCCCGGGAGAAAGCCCAAGGACAAGGAGGGTGATGCCGCCCTCAGCAAAGCCCCCCGTCTGCCCAACTCCAAGAGGACGCACAACACATTTTTCTACGACGAGGTGGTTCAAGAAATTGTGAACCCAGAGCCAAAGGAGAAGCCGGCCACAAACGGTTCAGCGGAGAAGCCAAGCGAACCTGCCCCTGCCGGCCAGACGACTGATGGCCAACCAGCACCTGCAACCGCACCTGCGGCCACCACCACGGAGGATGCTATGGATGTTGATTCCAAAGCAGCTGCCCCTGCTGATGCCCCGGCAGCGGAACCTGCCCCTGAGGCTGCGAAGCCCGAAGCCGCTGCAGAGTCCAAGCCTGAAGGTGCTGTAGAGCCCAAGACTGAGGGCGAGGCGGAACCTAATCCCGATGCTGTGGCAGAACCCAAGCCCGAGGCTGCGGCGGAATCTGTACCTGAAGCTGCCGCCGAGAACAAGCCTGAAGCTCAGCCAGAACCTGCTGTGTCTAATGATACCCCTGAGTATAGACCTAAGCGTGTTCGTCGAGATATCGACATCGGGCTCGAGCGGTTCACATTTGCTGAGCGCTCCGAGATCGACCGCATCGTTACTACCATCTACCGCACTATCCAAGGGGTTGATGATATGTACATGCGTCCAGCCTGCTGGGACAATCTTGTCTTTGTCGGAAACGGTTCTCGTCTTCGCGGGCTCAAGGAAAACATCCTGCAGACCCTCAATGCCCGTCACCTGGTATCTCCTTCGACCGCTACCATGTTCACTTCAGAACTCCCATCCAACATGGCCACGCCTACAGGCACTGGGTCTCAGACGCCAACAGGGTCATTCACTGGTGCTCCTCATCAGCTGCCCTCAAGCGGCGTGAACCCTCTTCTACAGGCTGCCACCACAGCTAGCACCCTGGGCGTTGCTGCTGTCGGCACCCCCCAGCCAGGCTCGGACGCCGCTGGGCCCACGACGACGCACCACTTCCACAGCCAGACTCCAACGAGCATCAAGACCGTTGGGCTGCCAACGTATCTTCAGGAATGGACCAAGAATGGCTTCGAAGAATCCATGTTCCTGGGAGCCCAGGTTGCCGCTAGGATTGTCTTTTGCCTTCATTCAAACATGGATATCCAGAGTGTTGAAGCGCAGAGGCTGGCGAATCTGAGCCGTATTGATTATAAGTAAGTTGAGCCCCCCTTTCCATAATTCTGTCACAATGAGGACTCGCGCTGACTGATGCCTTTCTGTTACAGCGAACTGGGACCAAAGGGGATCCGCACTCATTCGATGCTGAGTTGATAGATGGCAATGGGGGAGGAATAGATCTGGCTTCTTCTTCTAGTCCGAGGTGTATTGCCCATATGATGATATCTTTTTGCTTTTCTCGGAGTTTCTTGCGGGCGGGAAGAGGACTATTTTAAGAGCCGCAGACCAATGGGACGTCTTCTGATTCTCTTCGAATCAAAGACAAAAACAGGGGGTTTCGACTTAGTAGCGCCAAAATAAGACGGTAGTTTAGTTTATATAAAAATGTCCTAGGGTTCATTACGTCCGTTTGCCTTGAACAAGTTGAGGTAGGAGACGTGTGGCCAGCAGCGGGACGGGGACCGTCAAGGTGTTTCCATATCTCGACTTTCCAATACAGATCACAGCATTTACAGAGGATAGCTTAGAAGGTCGATAGTTTATTGTCGAGTGCTATTGCTAGAAGGATTGTGTATTGTTACAGATAGCCAGTCGAGTGCACGTCATGAGTCGTCTTGGTTAATTTGTTCCAACGGCATTCATTCATTATCAACCCGGTTTACGAATGCTTGAGATTCATGTTCAAGTACGCGGCCAAATCCGTGATTCTATTGATCCCTGGCCCTTACCATTCCATTACATGATCAACTTTCCCCTACCCATTACCATGTTAAGTAGCAATCCAACGTTTAAGAAAAAATCCAAACTATGGCTAAAGAATTAACCAAGAAATTTTGCTCCGCAATCTCCAAAAGCACATGACTATCCTGGCTTGATAAATCTTGAAAAACGATGATAAATGCAACTAGGCTTAGTTGGCCTCGTTCCTGGATTGGGCTTCTCGCGCCGCCGAGTGCCAGTTTGTCTTCAAGAGATATGTGTATTCGATCAACGAGACACTGGGAGGAAGTTAGATAAGTGTTGCCAAGACAAATACCAAAGGGACAACAGAAGCAAAATAGAAACCAGAGGCAGGTGAAAAAAGAATAGGGAAGGGGGGCTACACTTACACTATCAACCCGACTGTGACACCGAGCCACATCCCCTGGAGCTGCCAGCCAAGGCCAAAGGCCAGACCAAGGGAGATTGGCAGAGAGATGACGTAGTAGGCAATGATGTTTGCCGGGCCGCCGATGGATTGTCTCCCGATGCCGCGCAGAATGCCGTGGGCGCCGGCTGATACTCCGTCGAATACCTGCATCACGGCTACGACTGGGAGAACATGGGCTACGAGCTCAATGACCTCTGGAT